TCACACACACACACACACACACACACACACTGTATATATATTTTTGAAGAATAAAAAAGAATATCCAGGACAAGGACTCCCTTTCCTCCTCTCTGGCTGCCTTTCATGTTCACTTAAACACTTTTGGCTACATTTTTCAAACAATGTTGACTATTGTTCTACATTATATAATTTCTGTTGGAGTGAAATACTATATTTTAAGAGAGCGTGATTGGTTGGGGAGAAAGTCACAAGATTTTCCCGTCCCTGATTTTGAGGGGGAGTTCGTTCATTTGTTTTGTTTTGTTGACCCAAGAACCCAGTGCTCACTAGGCAATGACCATGCTCGGTCTTTACTCATGTGATTTTGATCTCTTCTGAAGGTTTTTGCAAGCACACAGTGTGATCCTGTTCATTTCCCACTCTTTGTGAAGGGATGCTAGCTAGTTTCTATGGCTAGGAAGGAAGCAGAAATGCCCCTTGGAAATTAGCTTTAATAAGCCCTTAATTTGCTATGAATTCCCCATAAGTAAAAAGATGAGGTACCTAAAATGTATTCATCTCAAATTATTCTGTTGGTATTCTGGAAAATTCCAAAAAGCAGGAAGTAAATTTTTCAAAAAAACAAAACCCCATAATTATTGGTGATTTTAGAACAAGTCTGATCCAATCTGTTTCTTTCCAGGAGCCGGGGCAGCTTGCTAAGAAACAAGGCATCTTGGTCTTGGGTGTGTGTCCAGCAATGTCTCTGAGCTTCCTCTTTTATGTAAAATGGGCAGGCTCACAGCATGCACCTTTCTGACTCTAAGCCATTCTCATATGCAGAGGAAACACTGTGTGGAAATGTGTGAGGCTGAACTTGAGGTGTCTTTTAACACGTGCATGCTAGGTGGTGTCTATGGCCAGGAAGGAAGCGGAAATGAGCAAAGAGAAGAGACAAATAGCCAGAGTAAAGTAAATGATCATGTGTTAAGGGGGCCAGGGAGATGGCCCTGAACTTGCCATGCAAATGTGAGAACTTACTTTGATCCCCAGCACTCGGGTGAGCAGGGCATGGCAGTATACACCCATTATGGTAGTGCTGGGGCTGGGGGTAGAAGGGGAAGACAACAGCTTCCTTGGAACTCAGGCCAGCCACTTTAGCGCAGGCAGAGAGTTCCAGGTTCACTGGGAGTCCCTTTGTCAAAAAACAAGGTGGAGAGAGAATGGAGAGAGAGCATAGTGGTGGAGAGCACTTACTGCTCTTCCAGAGGGTCAGAATACCTGAATCCCAATATCCACAGACTCCCAATACCCACATCATGTGGCTCACAATGACCTGTAACTGTAGCTCACAACGACCTGTAACTGTAGCTCCTGGGGAATCTGAGTCCCTCTCTTGGCCTCCATGGATACCCACACACCACCCACAGATACACACCCATAAAGAAACTAAAATAGAATCTTTTTGAAAATTAGATGGAGAGCAGCAGTACAAAGACACCTGACACCAACCTCTGGCTGAAATATGTGCATGTACAAACACATATACCACACACACACACACACACACACACACACACACACACACACACACACAAAGAGTCAGAACCCTCCCTGGTCTGTGGATAATCACTCTTGCATGGTGTGCCAGAAATATCCTGAAGAGAAAAAGAGAGCCAATCAGGAGGGGAAACAGGCGCTTCAGGTTCCGAGAAAGTCGTTGGTCTCTCCTCCATCCACATTTGATGACTTTTTTTTTTTTTTAAATGAAGTCTTCTTGCAGCTTCCGGACATATGTCAATTACCTGAACAATAAGTCCTCCTTCCCTTGCTCTGGATTCAGGCGGAAGTACAGAAAAAAGAAACAAAGTCAAGTCAAAAAGAAACAAAAGGTATAACCAAAGACTCACAAAAGCTTCCAGTTGTGTGTGCGATCTCTACACTTCCTAATGAGGAACAGGATTTACACTGCAGATTTTAAGCATCTTGGATATTTAAAAATTCTCAGGGCATTTGTGTGCAGTTGGTAAGGGATTCCGTGAAGAGGGGAAAGCGCCTCACAGTCGAATTGACTCACCTGGGAGTCCCAAGTGTAAACAGCAGT